TATTAGCAATATGAACATCGTGATTCACAACTATATTTTGAACTAACGGCTGAGTAGCCAAGTAATAATGATCTGAAAGGGCATTAGAAATAGGATTATAAAGGTTTGATGGACCGGCAGTTGCTTCGGAATTACAGGTAATAGGTTCATCATTTCTTTGTTCATCTTGCCGACGATTACGTCGTAATTCATTTTGTTTCTCGCGTCGAACTCTTTTTATTTCTTGCTCTTCTTCAGGTGTCCTAATAATTTTTCTGCGTCCCATAGTTATATAATAGTGAAAAATCTAAATTTCAAAAAAAAATTATATAGTGTAAGAATAATTTCCAATTAAGAAGTCTTTTATAGATTTTATTTATTTAATCAAAATATGTTTTTACAAATACATATGTATTTAATAAACTTATTTTATAAAATATAATTACCTGATTCAGTTTATCTATCAAAACTAAGGTCTAAATTACATTAGAATAATAATAAATATTTACTAATATATTAATATAACTACAGAAATATTAAAATTTATAACAATTGTTAATACTCAGTTGTATGTTTCCACAAAGTTTTAATATAGCATATGGCAAAAATTAAAATTAAATTTACTAATAATCGCTTATACATTCGATTGTAATTCAAATCAAATTTCTTAATTTTTTCAACATAAGTCCATTTCATTAGCATATTTATAATCAGGTCAATTTATTTGTCATATTCATATTTAAGTGAATTTTATTTCACTGCTCAAGTTCAAATCAATTTTCAAATCAGTTCAATTATATTTCAAATATCAAGTTTTAATTCAATTTCACAATACGGAGTTCATCTGGTTAGGCCTTTGACACAAATTGATGTCGGTTCAACCTGGAAAAAAAATAAAAAAAATTAATGAATGAACAATTCAAAATAATATTTAAAATGTTTAAAATAATAAAATTGTCAAAAAATACCAATAAAAAATTTTTAAGATTTGAGGAAAAAATTTATATTTGAAATTGTTATCCACTATATTTAATAATTAATAATAATACAATAATACAATTGTCATAAGTGCAAAAAATTAACATGAAGATTTGTCTATGATAAATCTATTGATAATAAACTAACCTATGAATAACCTGACAGGATATTTTTTCTTGACAATCAATATTGAGAATCAACTTTACGTTGAACTTTGCAATAACAAATTAATCAATAAAAGAAATTGTCTATAAATATGAGGCCGAATTATCGGATATCTAAACCATTAAATCAATTTCACAAGAGAAAAATAATTTCATTAATAAAATATTAAATATTAAATCCATGCACATGGTATTTTATAACGACATCAAAATAATGATATAAAGCAGTGTTGCCGATGGCTTAATTTAGAATTACCCACTCCACTAAGTCCAATTACCCGTTTTTACCCGGCACTGAAAGTTAGTGTTGCCATCTACTAAAAGCGCGGTAAATTTAAAATTAAATATTAAATCTTAGAGCATTCAAAATAAAAAGTACACAATAATAATTATTAATAAAATTTATTGAATTATTTCGTTTTTTTAAACTTTTAAAACATAATATTGTTAAGTATTTGTTAAATATATAAACCATATAAATTAAAAAATAAACATTAGACGATGTACTTAGTAATGATAATCGTTATCATAACAATATTAATTCAGATTTTTTATTATTTATCGTTATTTTTCCCAAACATTTGTGTCAATCATTTCGTTTGTTGGCTCAAAATTAATAATTTCGCTATCCTTAGATAAATAATTTTTAGTTACTGATACAGATTTTAAGGTTTCCGTGGATAAATTGTTTCTATTAGTTAATTGATTTTGTGAATCACTCATTATGTTCCGGTAAGGCGCAAGTTCAAGTTATGAGGGCAAGCGGGAAAATATGAGTTTGAATTATATTATAATATTATAAAGTGTAGATTTTTATACGCTTACAGACACTTTTCATATGTAGGTGGCAGGTACATCGCCACTTACATGAGTGTCATTTTAAACAGGACTAAAAGTTTTTTAAAGCGGAGATTTTAAAGCTGAGATATAATAATAAAAAATGAAAGTTATCGTCGTCAATGAAAAATTCGTACTATTATTATTATTATTATTATTATAATAGGAATTTAGAATTAAATTCTAATAAGCAGGGAATAAAATGATACAATCAATCAAAACTTTTAAACTAAATATTTATTATTATTATTATGCTCATTATTTATTTTGTACAGTTTTAAATTGTTGTTGACCAAAATATATAAAATATTTTTACCATCGGTATGATGTCACAAAGATTTGTAGACTTGTTACAAACACAAAGTAAAAAATATGCATTACAAAATCCTCGCAAATTATTATTATTGTAAAATAGTTATCTAGTAGTTGTAATTTTTAGTATTTTGTAACTTATTTCCAAAGAATTGAAAATAAAAAAGCAGAATCGACTAAATAAATTTTGAACAATAATATACAATACATCATATTTTAAGCAATAATACATAAAAAATAAAAAATTATTAAAAATTTTATCCATACTTCATTAAGTACTCAATTTAAGATAAGTATCATGCCAATTTTTGCCACACCATTTCGTAAACATAATAATAAACTCATTAGAGAACATAAGTGAAAGAGATCTAATAAAAAATTCTCGCAAATTATTATTTTTAAAAAATTATTTAGTCGTAGTAGTTTTAAGTATTTTGCAAATTATTTCCAGACTTGAGAATATAAAATTAGCAATATAGAAATCTGGAATCTATCACGGAATGACAGATGTTCTAATTCTAATAGACACAATATCGACTAAATAATTTTCTATAATAAAATACATTATATTTTATGCAATAGTAAATAAAAAATAAAAAGTTATTAAAATTCTTATCCATACTTCATTAAGTACTCAATCTAAGATGAATATTATGCTAGAGATAAACACTCAAGTACCGAGCAAATGTTTACAAATAATATTCAAAGCACACTGTTACGTAGACAAAATAATAAGCAAATTAGAAAACACAAAGAAAAAACTATGAAATAGAAAATTCTGGCAAATTATTATTTTGAAAAATTATTTAGTCGTAATAATTTTTAGTATTTTGCAAATAATTTCTAAAAACTTAAAAATAAAAAGATTAGCAATATAGACATTTGGAACCTATCACGGAATGACAGTTGTTTTAATAGACATTATATCGACTAAATAAATGTTTTATAAAATATAATACACCATAGTGTAAGCAATAGTACATAAAAAATGATTAAAAATCGTATCGATACTTTATCAGGTACTCAATCTAAAATAAGTATTAATGCCAGAAGTAAATACTGAAGTACCGAGTAAATGCTTACAAATAATATTTAAATCACACTGTTTCGTAAACAAAAAATAGAATTAGAAATTTCATAATTAATAATATCAATATTAATTAGCTTTAATTATACTGCGCTTGGCTTCGCCAATAATATTTTATTTTAAAAAAAATTACGTTTCGTAAACAAAAAATAGAATTAGAAATTTCATAATTAATAATATCAATATTAATTAGCTTTAATTATACTGTGCTTGGCTTCGCCAATAATATTTTATTTTAAAAAAAATTACGTTTCGTAAACAAAAAATAGAATTAGAAATTTCATAATTAATAATATCAATATTAATTAGCTTTAATTATACTGTGCTTGGCTTCGCCAATAATATTTTATTTTAAAAAAAATTACGTTTCGTAAACAAAAAATAGAATTAGAAATTTCATAATTAATAATATCAATATTAATTAGCTTTAATTATACTGTGCTTGGCTTCGCCAATAATATTTTATTTTAAAAAAAATTACGTTTCGTAAACAAAAAATAGAATTAGAAATTTCATAATTAATAATATCAATATTAATTAGCTTTAATTATACTGCGCTTGGCTTCGCCAATAATATTTTATTTTAAAAAAAATTACGTTTCGTAAACAAAAAATAGAATTAGAAATTTCATAATTAATAATATCAATATTAATTAGCTTTAATTATACTGCGCTTGGCTTCGCCAATAATATTTTATTTTAAAAAAAATTACGTTTCGTAAACAAAAAATAGAATTAGAAATTTCATAATTAATAATATCAATATTAATTAGCTTTAATTATACTGCGCTTGGCTTCGCCAATAATATTTTATTTTAAAAAAAATTACGTTTCGTAAACAAAAAATAGAATTAGAAATTTCATAATTAATAATATCAATATTAATTAGCTTTAATTATACTGCGCTTGGCTTCGCCAATAATATTTTATTTTAAAAAAAATTACGTTTCGTAAACAAAAAATAGAATTAGAAATTTCATAATTAATAATATCAATATTAATTAGCTTTAATTATACTGCGCTTGGCTTCGCCAATAATATTTTATTTTAAAAAAAATTACGTTTCGTAAACAAAAAATAGAATTAGAAATTTCATAATTAATAATATCAATATTAATTAGCTTTAATTATACTGCGCTTGGCTTCGCCAATAATATTTTATTTTAAAAAAAATTACGTTTCGTAAACAAAAAATAGAATTAGAAATTTCATAATTAATAATATCAATATTAATTAGCTTTAATTATACTGCGCTTGGCTTCGCCAATAATATTTTATTTTAAAAAAAATTACGTTTCGTAAACAAAAAATAGTATATATATATATATATATATATAAATATATATATATATTATATTAGCTTATGCAATTACACTTTAAACTCACTTTAGTTTCTAATATCACTTTAAGTTAATCAGGTCACTTTTGTTCTTAATTAAAATCCCAGCTAATTAATACATACACGTTTTATTAACTATTATCACGAAGATTAACTGCTATTAGGACCAACTTAAATTACACTTTTAATACGAATTTTTTTTTTTAAATTAAATAATAACTTGTCCTATTCCAATAAATTATTTAATTTTAAACCGGTCACGTAATTTGTTTAAAAAAAAAAATTATCTAACTTTACTTTCGAGTTACCCATCAAAAGGTGATCTTTTCGTTGAGGGTTCATCAGTAGAATCTTCTATTTTGCGTTTCGGTGTAATGAAACCCATCGTAAGTAATTCATCTTCAGATAGAATATTCTCCTCGGGCATGATCTCTACATTTTTGATGTTGTCGCAAGATAGAGAAGAACCCTCTGTTGAATTAAAAAAATTAAAATAAATCAAAAAATTTATTTATAAATTTCAAAAATAGCAAAATGAACCTAGTTATTACCGTTTGAAATATAAACACCGCTGACAGAGACACGTGCTCCTAATACCAATTTGGGATTGTCGGTAAATAGGCGGACGATTACTCTGATACGCCATTCGTGGTCGACAATAGTCCCACATCCACGGCTACCTCCACCGTGAGTTACTTGTCCAAACGGTACCTTAATCCAACCTTGCACCTCTAAAACATAATAAAAATAAAATAAATTAACCATGTAAAAAAAATTAACAACCGAAACTACAATTAATCAATAACAATTTAAATTCTTACTTATTTTTTTATCTTCATCATGAGCAGCGATGTCTTTTAATAAGACTTCCTCATAAACGACTGGCACGGGATTGACAGTTGTAATGTCCAAAAACTTCTCGGCTTCAAAAGTAAGAACTGAATTAGCCTGTATAGTTAATTCTGTACTGGCAGTTGGAACAACTGATCCTCTCCATTGATTGTTCGAAACGCCCGCCTTGGCGCATTGAATACGAACAATCTGAAATAACGACGAGTAAAAATATAATCTCAGTCATTTTATAATAATAAGAACGATTAAGATAAAATATATAAATCTAAATTGTTCTACCTACCGAGCGCTCACTGACCATTGGAGACCACTTAGTGGCATTTTTGCCCCAAAATGTGATTTTTATTATCTGGGACTTGCCGTTACTGCCGTACATTTTAAAGAGAAGAGTACGCGGATCATATGTTGTTCTAACATAGCATGTACCCTCGACACATAAGACATACCCTCGAAATTCCCTGATGATCAAATAAAAATTAATTATTAAGAAAAAAATTCAATAAATATATACGCTAATTACAACTCTGAAGTTAACTGACAGCTGTTGAATTTTTTTTTTCTCATACATTATTTTATTTACAGCAAAAAAAAGCTGATTTCATACGATGATTTTATAAATAAAAAAAATTTTATAAATATAAAAATAAAAAATAAAAATAAATAAATATAAATATAAAAATAAATATAAAAATAAAAAATAAAAAATAAATATAAAAATTTTATAAATAAGAAAATTTTATAAATAAAAAAAGATTTTTTAAATAAAAAAAAAAACCAACACAGTGTCGTCGCCCACATGGTAGTTTTGAATTTTTTGATCGCTCGTGAACCATTTAATCCACTCATCTCTTGTCTTGCTCATATTGAAAGATAGTTACACTCAATCTGAATAATTAAATATTTATAATATTTAATTTCAATCTCTTCGAGATTATTAGAAAAAAAAAAACAAATGACTACGCGTGAATTAAAAAATATATAATCAAAATGGAGATCAACACCATACGAACAACACGAGATCTGGACGAAAAAGAACAACTGTATATGGACATGGACGGTATCAGACATATAATCTATACACATGTGCATAAGTATACTATAGTCTATATACTGAATTGACTTAGTTCTTAATATAAAAAATTTTTGGCTCTACCTACCGTTTATCCACCGAAATTAAATTCGAATAACAACTAAAGTCACATAAGTATTATGAGAATTCTTGAGTATTTTACGCAACACGAGTTTTTAATAATAAATAAATAAATAATAAAAAAGTATTGAAACTAAATTACGAAAATGCAAAATAAAATTGGTTTATTTATAATTAGAGCGATGCATGCTTTTCTGACATAATACTTTTCGGAACTAAAAAACTATGTATTATTATTACATAATAATTTCCACGATGAAAATTTGCCTTTATGGAAAATGGAAATGAAAATTTGCCTTTACTATTATACTATTACTATTCACTATAATAATAATAGTATATATTTCATACGCACGCTATATTCATGTGTCGCTTGATCTATACTAAATTCGATCTCCACCAATCAGATGACGAATAAATTGTCTCCACCAATCACGTCACGAATAGTTTGATGCCACATACATTTCATCTCAATTTTATTATGGGATTAAGGTTAGAGTCGTCATTACAACATCAAATACAAGTTATCTAGACTAGTCTGGTACCTTAGAAACCCATAAGCACAAAGTTACAAAATCGAGCGTTCACCTCGTAAAACGTCCAAAAATTAAACTTTGTAATTCATCAAAATTAAGGTCATAGTCGTCTTCACAACATCAAATACAAGTTATCTAGACTAGTCCGCTACCTTAGAAACCCATGGGGACAAAGTTTCAAAATCGACCGTTCTCCTTGTGGAACGTTAAAAAAAAAACTTTTTTTTTTATGAAAATTGAAATCTTATTCGTCCTTAGGACGTCAAATACAAGTTATTTAGAACACGCCAAAACCTTAGAGAATCCCATACAAACAATGTTCCAAATTGAACCGTTCACTTCGTATAAGGTCCACAAATTAAACTTTGTAAATCATGAAAATTAAGGTCATAGTCGTCTTCACAACATCAAATTCAAGTTGTCTAGACTAGTCCGGATCCTTAGAAACCCATAGGGACGAAGTTAGAAAATCGACCGTTTCCCTTGTGATACGTTGATAAATGGTAGTTTGTAATTTATGGAAATTGAGATCATAGTCGTCTTAAGGACATCAAATACAATTTATTTAGAACAGTCCGGAACCATAGAAACCCATAGTTGTCCCATAGGGACAAAGTTCCAAAATCGACCCTCAAACTCGTGAAACGTTAATAAACGGAACTTTGTAATTTATGAAAATCAAAATAATATTCGACCTTAGGACGTCAAATACAAGTTTTTTAGAACAGTCTAGAACCTTAGAATCCCATACTTGGTCCCTATGAGTTTCTAAGGTTTCGGACTAGTCTAAATAACTTTTATTTGACGTTCTGCAGACGACGATGACCTTAATTTTCAAGAATTACAAAGTTTTATTTTTGAATATTTCACTTTGAGAACGATTTATCTTGTAACTTTGTCTTTATCGGATTCTAAGAATTTGGACTGGTCTCGATAAGTTATATTTGACGTCCTAAAAACGAAGATTATCTTAATTTTCATAAATTACGAAGTTGAATATTAGGACGAGGTTAACGAGGTGAACGGTTGATCTTGCAACGACCCGATGAAGTTCTGAGGTACAGGGCTAGTCTGCTCTAGATAACTTGTATTTGACTTCCTAAAGACGATTGTGATCTCAATTTTCACAAATTACAAAGTTCCATTTATTAACGTTTCACGAGAACGGTCGATTTTGTAACTTTGTCCCTATGAGTTTCTAAGGTACCGGACTAGTCTAGATAACTTGTGTTTGATGTTGTTAAGACTACTTTCACGTTAATTCTCATGAATTACGAATTTTAATTTTTGGACGTTTTACTAGGTGAAAGGTCGATATTGTAACTTTGTGCCTATGGGTTTCTAAGGTACCGGACTAGTCTAGATAACTTGTATTTAATGTTGTAAATACGACTCTGACCTTACTTTCTATCAATTACAAGGTTTAATTTTTTGACTTTTTACGTAGTCAACGGTCGATTTTGCAAAGTTGTTTCTATGGGATTCTAAGGTTCCAGACTGTTCTAAATAACTTATATTTGACGTCCTAAGGACGAATATGATTTTGATTTTCACAAATTACAAAGTTCCGTTTATTGACGTCGATTTTTTAACTTGGCCCCTATGGGTTTCTAAGGATTCGGACTAGTCTAGATAACTTTTATTTGACGTTCTGAAGATGACTATGACCTTAATTTTCATGAATTACAAAGTTTTATATTTAAACGTCTTAGTTGGAGAACGGTCGATTTTGTAACTTTGTCCCTATGGGATTCTAAGGTATTGGACTAGTCTGAATAACTTTTATTTCAAGTTCTGCAGACGACGGAGATCTTAATTTTCATGAATTACAAATTTCAATTTCTGGATGTTTTACGAAGTAAACGGTCGAATTTGCAACGTTGTTTGAATAAGATTCTAAGGTTCGGGAGTGTTCCAAATAACTTGTATTTGACGTCCTAAAAGCGAATATGATCTTAATTCTCATAAATTACAAATTTTAATATGAGGACGTTTTACGAGGAGAACGGTTGATTTTGAAACTTTGACCCGATCGGGTCCTAAGGTTTTGGTCTGCTCTAGATAACTTGAATTTGACTCCCTAATGACAATTGTAATCTCAATTTTCACAAATTACAAAGTACCATTTATTAACGTTTCACGAGGAGAACGGTTGATTTTGTAACTTTGTCCCTATGGGTTTCTAAGGTACTGGACTAGTCTCGATAACTTATATTTCATGTTGTAAAGACGTCTATGACGTTAATTTTGATGAATTACAAAGTTTAATATTTGTACGTTTTACGAGGTAAACGGTCGATTTTGTAACTATGTTTCTATGGGATACTGAGGTTCCAGACTGTACTAAATAACTTGTATTTGACGTCCTAAGAACGAATATGATTTCGATTTTCATAAATTACAAAGTTCCGTTTATCAACGTCGATTTTGTAACTTGGTCCCTATAGGTTTCTAAGGATTCGGACTAGTCTAGATAACTTTTATTTGACGTTCTGAAGACGACTATGACCTTAATTTTCATGAATTAGAAAGTTTTATATTTAAACGTCTTAGTTGGAGAACGGTCGATTTTGTACTTTTGTCCTTATGGGATTCTAAGGTATTGGACTAGTCTAGATAACTTGTATTTGACGTCCTAATGACGAATATGATCTTAATTTTCATAAATTACAAAGTTCCATTTATTAACGTTTCACGAGAAGAACGGTCGAATTTGTATCTTGGTCCCTATGGGTTTCTAAGGTTTCCGACTAGTCTGAATAACTTTGATTTCAAGTTCTGCAGACGACGATGATCTTAATTTTCATGAATTAAAAATTTCAATTTCTGGACGTTTTACGAAGTAAACGGTCGAATTTGCAACGTTGTTTGAATAAGATTCTAAGGTTCGGGAGTGTTCCAAATAACTTATATTTGATGTCCTAAAAGCGAATATGATCTTAATTCTCATAAATTACAAATTTTAATATGAGGACGTTTTACGAGGAGAACGGTTGATTTTGAAACTTTGACCCGATCGGGTCCTAAGGTTTTGGTCTGCTCTAGATAACTTGAATTTGACTTCCTAATGACGATTGTAATCTCAATTTTCACAAATTACAAAGTACCATTTATTAACGTTTCACGAGGAGTACGGTTGATTTTGTAACTTTGTCCCTATGGGTTTCTAAGGTACTGGACTAGTCTTGATAACTTAAATTTCATGTTGTAAAGACGTCTATGACGTTAATTTTGATGAATTACAAAGTTTAATATTTGTACGTTTTACGAGGTGAACGGTCGATTTTGTAACTATGTTTCTATGGGATTCTGAGGTTCCAGACTGTACTAAATAACTTGTATTTGACGTCCTAAGAACGAATATGATTTCGATTTTCATAAATTACAAAGTTCCGTTTATCAACGTCGATTTTGTAACTTGGTCCCTATAGGTTTCTAAGTATTCGGACTAGTCTGAATAACTTTTATTTGACGTTCTGAAGACGACGATGGCCTTTATTTTTCATCAATTACAAAGTTTTATTTTTGAATGTTTCACTTTGAGAACGATTTATTTTGTAATTGTGTCCCGTTAAAAAATCGACCGTTGACTTCGTAAAAAGACCAATAATTAAACTCGGTAATTCATGGAAATTAAGGTCAGACTCGTCTCTAGAACATAAAATACAAGTTATCTAGACTAGCCCGGTACCTTAGAAACCCATAGGCACAAAGTTACAAAATCGACGGTTCACCTCGTAAAACGTCCGAAAATAAAACTTTGTAATTCATGAAAATTAAGGACATTGTCGTCTTCACAACATCAAATAAAAGTTATCTAGACTAGTCCGGTACCTTAGAAACCCATGGGGACAAAGTTTCAAAATCGACCATTCTTCTCGTAAAACGTTAATAAACGGAACTTTGTAATTTATGAAAATCAAAATCATATTCGTCCTTAGGACGTCAAATACAAGTTATTTAGAACACTCCAAAACCTTAGAATCCCATACAAACAACGTTGCAAATTCAACCGTTCACTTCGTATAAGGTCCACAAATTAAACTTTGTAATAAAAATAAAAAATGTAATTTATGATATTTAAGATCATATTCGTCTTTACAACGTCAGATACAAGTTATCTAGTATAGTCCAATACCTAAGAATCCCATAGGGACTTTGTTACAAAATCGACCG